TTTTTTTTTTTTTTTTTTTTTTGAGAAAAGTCGAGAGATCTTGTTAATTTCTGTAGGTAACAAAAGTTAATCCGAACTATCCTCGCGTAAAATAATAAATCGTCGATTTTCTGGACACGTGTCTTGAAAAACCGCAGAGAGACCGCGGAGGGATTACGGGACGCGCGCGACCTCGTCCGCTCGGGAAGTCGGTCGGGAAAATTAGTTTCCGAGCTTAATGGAGTTCCGCGAAAGATGTGCACCTCGGTGGCGGCGCGGGCGACGATGCGCGCGACGACGACGACAACGACGACGACGACTATCGGTCCGAAGTTTTTGCAACTTTCGCAATTTTTTCAATTAGCCGCGATTTTTCAGCAACGCGCGACAGAACGCTGAGAGAGATGAGACCAGAGTCTCCGTGTTTGTCGCACTCTTCTTTTCCCACTTTCCCGAATTCCGTTCTGTATATCATTATATACGCATAACGACGAGTTAATATATCGAGAAAGTCAAGCGACTCCGCGAATTCGCGTCTTAGTGGCTCGGCTCCCGAGCGCGTAAACTTCTCTTTATTCCGCGAGTCTGCGAATTCGCGGATCCATTATTTCACGCGCGGCGACAATAATCTTTCCGTCATTAATGGGCGGTCATTGTGAGCGCACCGCACGTTGCCGAGCGACGAAACGCGGCAAAATGCGTATTCTCGCTATCTCGGTGAATGACGGCCACTTCCGCCCGACTTCCTCTGTGCGATCGCGTCGATGATTTACGAGCTGTGCGAGAGATCGCGGTCAAAATGCGCGAATATTGCGCGGTTCACCCCCCCTTTTTTTTTGACGCTTTTCAACGGCGAAAGATCGTCGTCAACGATGCGACACTGCTTTTTTTTTATACTTTGTGAATTTCGTGCGTCGTCTCGTGCCAGACCCGAGTCGAAATTTAGCGTCTACATTGAACCTCAATTTTTCTTTTTTTATATAAGAGTAAGAGAGAGAGTAGATCCTACTTTGACGCTGCTATACGTCCGAAATTTCCTTTTTTCCTGCTAAAGTTTTAAAGTAGGGTTTAATTCTCAGATCAGACTGCGCATTGCAGGCTCTGATAGGCTCAAAATAGGGTCCGATAGGCTCAAAGTAGGAGTAAGAAAAAAAGTAGATGCTACTTTGACGCTGCTATACGTCCGAAATTTCCTTTTTTCAAAAATTGAGGTTCAATGTAGACGCTAAATTTCGAATCTCGTTGCAACTCGCGCGATCGATCTCGCGCAACTCGACGAGGCTTTCAAAGAGAGAAGAAATAGAAGGCGCGTATCGCGCGTGAAAGAACAATTTATCGTGTCGCAATTAATAAGTCGGTCGCGATAGAGACCGACCGGAATGAAGAAACAATTTTATAAACTTTTTCTCCGCGAGAATCAGATTGCGATAGAAAAAAAAGGCTTTCGAAAGGCTCGATCGCGGAGCGAAAGACGGTTTATTGAGAGTCGGGAGACAAATAAAATCGAGAAATCTCCTAGCGTGAAAATAGGATAATCTGAAACTGACATCGCTATCCTCTTTGGCGCGCGCGCGCGCGCGGACACTTAAATGCTCTCGATACGTTTTCAGTTATACAGGAGAGGACGCGCAGGCTTCGTTAGTTGAAAAAAAAAAACAAAAACAAAAAAAAACAAAGCTCCTTCCCTTCTAACGTCGAGAAAATTATCGCCGATGACTCAGGTCGTGTTTCACGCGGTAAGTGTAACGCGATTTGTGACTATGATAACACGCGGTAATACGCGGTACTAATGGCGCGCTACGTACAGTAGAGAGAGAGAGAGATTTTATCTATTCGCGATATACGAAATGATATAGGGCGATCGATGTCTAAATGTGGGCGTGCTAATGTCGTTCCGACGAACTTGGCAAATTGGGATAAGGAGGAGAATATCTCGAAGTAAGATCTGGAGATAAGATGCATAGACGTATAATATATAGACTGCGCGTTCCCTACACTGAAAAAATTATATTCTTGTAAGTAGAAGATTTTATACTTAAAAAATCTTCTTCAAGATTTTAGATGATATTCTTCTGAAATTAAGAATATATTCTTTTTTAAAAATATATTCTTCATTTAAGAATATAGTCTTTTTCGATAGTGAGATATATATATGTTTTTCTATAGAGGCTTTTTTATATTCTAATCAGTATATATTCTTATCAATATTACTATTTAGAGGATTTTTCTCTTAAAATAAGAAACTCTTCTTGGCGCCTATTTTAGTATAAAATATACTTAAAGTAAGTGGGATATCCTCAAAACAAGAATACCATTTTTTCGGTGTACCTTTGCCATGTTAAAAAAATGTCTTCAACGTTGAGAGAGACAGCTGGTGTTGAACAGTA